TGGGCTGAGAGAAAAAGTGAACCAAGCCTTCAAGGATGACTGATCATTTTTGGCCTGAGCAATAGTGAGGATGGAGTTGCCATTCTCTGAGACGACAAAGATTGAGAGTAGAACAGCTTTAAGGGGGATGAGCCAAATTACTCATACTCTCAAAGAAAAGGATAGGTGGTTACAAACACTTGATTCAGTAAGAACAGTGGTCTATAGATTTTACTATAATTCGTATCTGTATATCATACAGCCGATTCTTTTAGCTAATGTCTTAAAAAGATGTGAGAGTTAGCAGATGAAGGAAGATTGACTAAGATTCATATAGCCCATGGTAACAAGGTCAGGTGTAGAACAGACTTTGAGACTTATTTTTTTTTTTAATCTCTGGAGGGCTAATTCACACTGATAAAGAGAATGAAGGCAAAAGGCTTGGACTTGGATGGTGAGAAGCTGGCTAAGCCCTGAATTTTCTGCTCTATGTGTTTTCACTTACTTAGAAGCCTGTGCCTGGGACTTTTGCTTTAAATCTCTTCATATTCTTCTTAAATATATTCTTCACATATAATCATATGTAAATACTTCAGTTGGATTTTATCCTATGCACATGCACTGTTTGCAGTCTGTTTTGTTAAAATTTGTTATATATACATCTCAGGTGTTTTCTCTGCAAGCACAGACATTTGAAACATGGATGATGTTGCATGGTCCTTTATTAATTAGTATTGTTTATGTTTCTATCAATAAACTTCCTTTTCATGGAAGGTAGTATTGCCTAACAATTAAGGAGAGAAGCTATTTAGAAATAGATGGGAGTGCATATCCTGATATAATGCAAATAACTGTGTCCAGGACATTATACTACCTCCTTGGTTTCACTTTTCTCATCTGTAAAATGATCATAATAACTGTACTTATTCCATAATTGTTGTGAGGATTAAATTAATGCACTCTACACTCTAGGGACAGTACCTACAGGATATTAGGATCTGGTCACTGTCAGGTTTTTATTTTTTAATCTCCATTATCTCTAACTCACTTATCTTTGATAATCAGTCTTTTGGAAGCAAATAATAGTTCAAGAAGCTGAGCCTCTTAAATTCTTCTCGTTAAAAGTTAATACAAATGTTTAGTCATTGGGATTACATGATACGGTATCATAGGCATTACTGTTCTGTTATTTCACATTTTCACGTCTCTCAAAAAAAATAGATTATTGGAGTTTGCTCCATGCACATGTTTTGATACCCACATGAAGGTTGAAACCAGTGGGAGTTCCAAAGTTGCCCCCATAGCCAAAGGGTCTTCATTCTCTGAGACATCTTTAAAAAGTAAAAAATGAAACAAAAGAAAACAAAAACACAACATTGTGAGCCACACTTCTACATTCATAGAAACAAATTAAAGTGAAGATATCTTGGGGACTATATATATGTATATATTATTTTATATATATATATAAAATAAATCTGGTGGTTTATGAACTTTTCTAGGTGAATAAGATTTTATCTGGTTTGCTTACATGGGAAACTATCCCTCCCAACCACCTGCTGCAATGATTTGCTAAAAGTAGAACTGTTCTGGTTGGTAGGGTGATGCTGGAGTTATCCTGCTCACTCTGCCTTGACTCTCACCCCTGTGATGGTACATGGCGACTAGAAACCCTCAGAATATAGTTTGGATGCCGTTTGAGTTCAATTAAGGTTTCATACATTTCTTACATACTTTTGAAAACTTGAATAGTCGAGGTTGGAGGTATAATAGAAATATTTTGCCAAAGAGATTTAAGGGCAAACTCCTTGAAATGTTTTAAGGATTGCTTTCTCATATGATTATATACAATGTTGTCTCAGCCCACTTGTAATTTAAAATTGGCTGGAATTCATATCAGTTGTATTAGAAACACTTTCAGGTGTCACTGATACACTGCTAGCATAACCAAGCTCTACATTTTTAAAGTGAGGTTTGAGGAAGGTCTTATATGAGTACGTATATACTCCATACCAAGCACCATCAACCTATTCCATTAGTGGAATTTGCTTTACTGGATTTTGAATCAAGATGACAAAAGTGAAAATGTGTATGAAAAGTCTGTAAGTAGAATTTTCTGTGAACTTGGGGCTGGAGAAAGGGTTGTATTGTACTTGAAGTGATGTAAATTGAAGCTAATGGTTGATAAGGTGGTTGGGAGCCTGTTTAAAATATTTGTGAGAGAATTGCATATTTAATACAGTATTTTTTTTAGTTCTTTATCTATAAATAACTTTTATGAGGATCCTAAAATGCCTGGTGGATAGTTGACAGTTTAATTTGAAAGAAGCCAGTACCTTGACTTCCGGTCTATCCAAGTTGTGGAAGGTAAAGTGACATTTACTGAGCACCTGCCTGTAGCAGTAGGCAGTATTACACACTGTGTGTTGTTCCTTAATAAATCATTAGGAGCTAGGTGGCGGTTTCATTTTACAAGTGAGAGAGTTGAGGCTCATAGAGATTATTACTTGCCTAAGATTCTGAAGCTAACAAGTGACAGAGCTTGGATCCCAGCCCTTCGAGGCTTGTCTGCTTTCTGATCACATCACCTACCCAAATAAGTTTTCCGAGGTGTCCGTATGTTCTGTAACCCTTAAATTGTTGATTGGTAAAGGGAGTATTTTCCATTGGATCAGAAAATGAGCAAGACTTGGCAAGCCTACTGTTGACAGCACTAAGCTCTGCCTGTTCAGCTTGTCCTTTTGAGTGTGTGGTTGTGTGGTCTCTAAATCGACCCCAAAGCTAAAAAGATTATGGTTTGGTCACTCTATGAGGGTCACTGTGTTCTACCCTTTGTTAGTCCACGTGTCTTCATAGAGTGAATTATGACTTGGAGCCCTGATGGCTTTAGGGATTATTTTTCTTGTCCTTTTTTTGAATTTTAATGGCAGATGACTTCTTTTAAGAGTGATGCTGGAAGTTACAGATTGTCCCAGAGTAACTTCCTAGTTACTTCCCTGGATAATAGAAGAGAGATGTTAGATTTAGTGGTTATAACTAATTATATTTTGATTATATTACCTGAAGGAGTTTAGTAGCTGATTTAAATTTGGTCTTCTATTTTACTCTTTCTGGTTGTTCAAACACAGCCAATATTCATGTACACTTCTACAGTTTGGATTAATTCTACAGTTGTAATTTAATTCATCCAAGTACATGAAAATAGTACCAAAATTGTATTCTAATTTTGTGCAGGACTATCAACAAAACTATTACTTTCTGAGAAGGAAGACCTTTCCTGGTGGGGGAGTCTCTCTGATTCACCACCCTTGTGTTTGAAATTGGCTAAATTTATTACACTAGCCATCACAACCAGGGCACCATTTCTTTATACATTCTACAGATACTACTCTCATTATAGAAATAATTGCTTTCTTAAAAATACACTACTGTGGAACCGACTCACATACTTATCATTACTATGCCTACTTTATTACTTGTCCCACATTTCTCACTCATTAACTTGAACCAGCTTAGTCCTAGAAATACAAAAACATAAATTAAAAAGCTTCATTTTTAGCTGAAGAATAATTTTTTCTGTGTATATTCTTCCTTAAAATAAACTGTGGATAATGTTCATTGTATTTTTGTTGTCAAAATGTTTACTTCTTTAGAAAAATGAGGAAAAATATGCCAAATTTATATTGTATATTTTATTTGGAACCATTTTTAGGAATCACACAGTTTTTCTCCTGAAAGTTCAAACCTGTGACAAATCTACTAATGACTAGAATGTGAAATTTGGCTGAATTGTATTTTTATGTCTTTCTGCAAACTAATTTGACCTATTTTTGGTTTGTTTTTGTTTTTTTTTCCTTTTCCAGTCTTTACCAGGTGCTGGTCTCTGGATATTTTTTGTTTAAATTGAAAAAAATCTTAAATCTGCCCACAGACTGGTATGGTATCCAGTGAGACACGGGGATTGCCAGCAGTGGCTTTTGAAGGGTCTGAGGAGGCAGAAAGAGTTGAGAACTCGGACTTGAGCTAGTTTTTGGCCACTCTCTGCTACCTTTCCTGTGGGCAGAACATCTTTTCTCTCAAGCTTGCCTGCTGTTTTAGAGAAGTTAGGGGTTAGATCACTCTGCGTGTTCATCCGGGAGCAGGATATGGCTTAGGTATCTGACTTGCATTGTATTTGACAATGAAGAGCAGTGTTACTGATTTTGGCAGTGCCTCCTAGTGATTGGAGAAAGGAGGGCTGGTTTTGTTTCTGAGCACTTTGTTTGAACAAATAAGCTGCTGCAGCAGCCACTACAACACATATCCCACTTCACCTTCTCTCCACACAGAAACAAAAACACTCCATATTTGTCCCTTCTTGAGGACACACATAGTCAACTACTGCCAGTGGGAAGAGTGAAACCTGAAATGGTCCTTCAGACCATTGAGCTCGGCTTACACAGCTAGATCTGTGTAAATTGGAACAAAATGGCAAGAGTATGGCTTGGATGCTGGATGGCAGAGAGCTCTGTTGAAGGCAGGGCTCACATTAACTGCCAACTACAGGTTTCTTTGTAGTTGAGGACCTGACTCTTATACTGAAAGATTAAAAACATCCTTTAAAATAATGTTTATTAATCATCTGATTAGATTTTATAAAAAATTTAGGCAATTCTTCCTAAATAATGTCCAAAGTATTTCTTTAATAACTTGAATGTTTTGGAGGGCAGGGAAAGTAGTCATAGACATATGACCAGCTTCAGTATTTGGCAAATATGAAGTGATACAAATCCCAACTTTCAGTGTATTGTATGCTTTTGTGTATGGCAGTTTTACTCAAGCCAGTTATTACTGACACTGGCTTTTAAGAGAAAGGATTTTAGCTTTTTTAGTATAATTGTTGTAGCTCTTTACACTTGAAAAAGGCATAAAGATGGGTTTGAGTCATTTCTACATGATAGCATTATTAAATAGACCTAATAACCTCATTCGGTAGAGCATTTATCTTTAGGCATTACTTTTAGCTCTTTGCCAGTGAGATTAGTACTGTGGTCCATTTTGAACAGTTTTGAAAAGAGGTAACCTTTAGTATCATTTGTAGGACTTAATAAGTTTGCTCCTAATTCTTAAAGGAAAATGTCTAGATTCATCAAAAAGCATCTGCTTTGCCAAGCATAGGAAAGCACTGCACTCTGAGGATGCCTTATAAAAGGAGAAATCGCTTTAGAAGTTACCATGTGGAAGGCATTAGGTTGAGTAACAAAGTGTTTTTCATATTGATCTTCCAGCTACAATTACAATTAACTTTGAAGATTCAGAATTTGTCTTTTTCCAGGAGAAAAACTGTCATATTCATAAACTCAGTTTTAGGTAAATTTTAATGTCTGTTTGTCATTGATTTTCTTAATCTAGGACTGAAACAATCTGATTGATTTATTGAAGAGAATTTATTATCTAATGGCTTACAAATGTCTGTTTCATTTAGTTTTGGAAGATGTGATAATAATCACATTATTTTTCAGTCTTCCAGAAAATTTTTCTCCTCCCTCCTCTCCTTGCTTTCTATGTACCCTTCAACAAGAAAGTATTAAAAGGAAAAAATATTCAACAAAATCAAACCTTGAGTCAGTGCCTTTATCCTCTTGGGGGGTCTTTTGGAAATAATGGCTGATGAAAAGGAAAGGAAGGAAGTTACTTTTTTTAACACTAAAAAATCTTTTTTTCAATGTCTTACTTCAGGCTAATAGAATAAAATTTTAGGATTGTTATAAGTTGTATGTTCCTAGTTTTTTTGTGTGGAATCTCTTGTTTCCCTTTAGGCCAAGAGTCATTTCACAATTTCTAGGTTGCTGTACAATGACTACCACAGATGGACATTTGTAGTAGGAATTTAGGAAAATTTTGTAGCAGTAGTCTGCATAGACCAAGTGATAACTTGGTGTTGTGTTTGGGGGTAAATGATAACACCTGAGAATACCACTGGCCTGGTATCTATCCAGGCCCCTAACTGGCTATAAAGTGCATTACTCTTAGGAGTCACAGTACTTGAAGATTCGTTTTGGTGCCCTTATTATGAATGATTAGTGTCGCCGCTCCCTTTTCCCACCCCCAGTCTGAGACTACCACAGTAAGACAAGAAAGGGCAATGTCATGGTGGGTTCTTAGTTACTAGAGAAGTTAGGCCACTTAGTTAGGAGGTTGATGAATTTTTGTTCTTAGTTAAAAATATTAAGTATTCTCACTGACTTTAAGTATCAGATGTGATGGTATAGATTGCTCTTTCCTGTGGAACCAAAGTACGTATGTTTTAAATTTTTTTCTTTTTATAAAGAATGTCTTGTTGCGCCGTTTTGCTAGACTGAAAGTTTCCTCCTCGCCTGGTGAGCCCCTCCGCTAATTCAATCTTTGTCTTTTGTCTTTGCTGCCTTGCAGGGTTGGTACAGTAGGCTTCACTAGACTTAGCTGCAACTCAGAATTTCTCCTCCAGCACCTGAGTAAATGCTGATGGTCTTGTGGAGAGTGGATTAAGAGTACGAGCTAAGTTCTCAATCCCAATTAAGAAGCGGAGGAAAATTTAAACTGTCTCCTTCAAAGTTTATCACAACCACCACCATCAAGACAGCAAACCAAAGGACAAAGACTTTGACCTGCTGTGTCACTCTGTATAGTCCGGTTCACGTATGGTTTACGGACTTGACTGGGGTTACTAATGAGTAAATAAAAAGTTGGACACTTCTGTCATTGGACACTTTTATTCACAAAGTTTCCAAAATGAGGGCTGTGCTGGAGACGGCAGACATTGCCATAGTGGCCCTGTATTTTATCCTGGTCATGTGCATTGGTTTTTTTGCCATGTGGAAATCTAATAGAAGCACCGTGAGTGGATACTTCCTGGCGGGGCGCTCTATGACCTGGGTAGCAATTGGTGCCTCTCTGTTTGTGAGCAATATTGGGAGTGAGCACTTCATTGGTCTGGCAGGATCTGGAGCTGCAAGTGGATTTGCAGTGGGCGCATGGGAATTCAATGCCTTACTGCTTTTGCAACTTCTGGGATGGGTTTTTATCCCGATTTACATCCGGTCAGGGGTATACACCATGCCTGAATACTTGTCCAAGCGATTTGGTGGCCATAGGATTCAGGTATATTTTGCAGCCTTGTCTCTGATTCTCTATATCTTCACCAAGCTCTCAGTGGATTTGTATTCGGGTGCCCTCTTTATCCAGGAGTCTTTGGGTTGGAACCTTTATGTGTCTGTCATCCTGCTCATTGGCATGACTGCTTTGCTGACTGTCACCGGAGGCCTTGTTGCAGTAATCTACACAGACACTCTGCAGGCTCTGCTCATGATCGTGGGGGCACTCACACTTATGATTATTAGCATGATGGAGATTGGCGGGTTTGAGGAAGTTAAGAGAAGGTACATGTTGGCTTCACCCAATGTCACCTCCATCTTGTTGACGTACAACCTTTCCAACACAAATTCTTGTAATGTCCACCCTAAGAAAGATGCACTGAAAATGTTGCGGAATCCAACAGATGAAGATGTTCCTTGGCCTGGATTCATTCTTGGACAGACCCCAGCTTCAGTATGGTACTGGTGTGCTGACCAAGTCATCGTGCAAAGGGTCCTAGCGGCTAAAAACATTGCTCATGCCAAAGGCTCTACTCTAATGGCTGGCTTCTTGAAGCTTCTGCCAATGTTTATCATAGTTGTCCCAGGAATGATTTCCAGGATACTGTTTGCTGATGATATAGCTTGCATCAACCCAGAGCACTGCATGCAAGTGTGTGGAAGCAGAGCTGGGTGCTCTAATATTGCTTACCCACGTCTGGTGATGAAGCTGGTTCCTGTGGGCCTGCGGGGCTTAATGATGGCGGTGATGATTGCAGCTCTGATGAGTGACTTGGACTCTATCTTTAACAGTGCCAGTACCATATTCACCCTCGATGTGTACAAACTCATCCGCAAAAGCGCAAGCTCCCGAGAACTAATGATTGTGGGGAGGATATTTGTAGCTTTTATGGTGGTGATCAGCATTGCGTGGGTGCCCATCATCGTGGAGATGCAAGGAGGCCAGATGTACCTTTATATTCAGGAGGTAGCAGATTACCTGACGCCCCCAGTTGCAGCCCTGTTCCTTCTGGCAATTTTCTGGAAGCGCTGCAATGAACAAGGGGCTTTCTATGGTGGAATGGCTGGCTTTATTCTTGGAGCAGTCCGTTTGACACTGGCCTTTGCCTACCGTGCCCCAGAATGTGACCAACCTGATAACAGGCCAGGCTTCATCAAAGACATCCATTACATGTATGTGGCCACAGCATTGTTTTGGGTCACAGGACTTATTACTGTAATTGTTAGCCTTCTCACACCACCTCCCACGAAGGAACAGATTCGTACCACCACCTTTTGGTCTAAGAAGATCCTGGTGACGAAGGAGAGCTGCTCCCCAAAAGACGAACCATACAAAATGCAAGAGAAGAGCATTCTGAGATGCAGTGAGAATAATGAGGCCATCAACAATGTCATTCCCAATGGGAAATCTGAAGATAGTATTAAGGGCCTGCAGCCTGAAGATGTTAATCTGTTGGTGACCTGCAGAGAGGAGGGCAACCCAGTGGCTTCCTTAGGTCATTCAGAAGCGGAAACACCAGTTGATGCTTATTCCAATGGGCAAGCAGCTCTCATGGGTGAGAAGGAAAGAAAGAAAGAAACAGAGGATGGAGGCCGGTACTGGAAGTTCATAGATTGGTTCTGTGGCTTTAAGAGTAAGAGCCTCAGCAAGAGGAGTCTCAGAGACCTGATGGAGGAGGAGGCTGTTTGTTTACAAATGTTGGAAGAACCTCCACAAGTTAAACTAATACTAAATATTGGACTTTTTGCTGTGTGTTCCCTTGGAATTTTCATGTTTGTTTATTTTTCCTTATGAACTTTAAAGGATATGATGAGACACTAACTTAAAGAAAATACTGGTCTTTGAAAAAAAAAAAACACCTTATGTAACTGTTGCATCTCTCAGGCATTGTTTACGCTGTAGGTTTTAGCCAAATTTTACTTAGCAGAAAATCATCTATTTGCAAGACTTTATTTTCCCAGAGATGGATGAAAGTAAAATTTCAGCTTAAATGAAGTAAAACTTGTTTAACAGACTGAATTGTGCACATGTGGTTTAAAATTTTTCATACCAAAGTAAGGAGAGACCAATTATTCTCATAGAACATTTAGAGCAGAATATATGCTAAGATGTCATGAATAAGGTATACTGTCTGCACTGCCAAATCTTGGTAGACTTTCTTACCCTGAAGTAGAAGACTTGCTCATTTTAAAGTTTTTTCTGTGTCTATAATCCCTACTATCATTAAAAACAAAAAAAGTGAATTTGTAGACATTGTATAATCAATTATGTACTGAAAATCTAACATGTGCTTGTGGGGAACTTGTTTCAGGACAAGTTAGTTTGCCAGGTTTATTTTGTTAGCATGAGCCTATGGATTTGGAATGCTGAAAGAAAAGAAGAATGTTTTCCTGTAGCTGTTCTTGTACCACCAGTGTATAGAATGTTGGGAAACAGTTTTGTTCCGGTTATTTTGTTTTTCTTTTTTCTTTGAAGTTTAAGTGAACCATACCCAAATGACCACCAAGTCTGTCTTTATAAAGTTATGTGTCATGACTGTATTGTGAAATGATTATGGGGGAGAAAATGAAGTAAACGTTGCTGATGACCCCCAAATTTAAAATACTGACCAAATTAAGATTGTTTATATAGTTTGGGAATTAGCAGCCCCTAAGCAGTATTCAGGCAGCTTAAGCTGAACAGGTGATTACTCATACTCCATTAATTCTCTAGCTTTGTTCTTGTCATTGGTAACATACATACTTTACTAGCCAGGTACTTTCCCAAGTGGATCCATTTGGAAGATGTGTACAGAAATTTGAAGAAAAATTAACGCTGCCTTTTGGCTGGGTTGCTCTACTTAATTGTATCATGATATATTGAGGTTGAGTTTTTAGAGTGAAAATTTAATTTTAAGATCATATTGTATCCTTGATAAGTTATTTTTCCCTAATTTACTTTTTTTCAAAAGGCTTGCCATCTGTACACAGCCTCTACGTTTTTGTTTAAAAACCTAGTGACATAGAGCATGAGGATATGTCAGTGCAAACTGGCCATTAGTAGCAGAAAACTCAAGAGTGCATGCTTTGCCATTGGTAGCTTGTCAGATGGTCTTTCTGTAGAATGGATAGTATGTTCAGAAGGTGCCATGGACAAGAACTTCTGGGTTTAGTAGTGTGTCTTGTGGAGATTACAGGACTTGTGTAATTGCAAGACCCTCTATCTTGACATGGCTTGGTACCCAGTTGCAGCCTTTGTGGATGAGAGTCTGTTTTTCACAGACTGATTCCCCTTTGTGAGGACAGGGTACGTACAAAAGATGTTTGAGACAAGTGCAACAGATATGTAGTTCTTTGTGTGTGCTCTACACTGTCCTTCCTCCGTGACAGATGAAGGAAACTATTTGTGTATCTACTTTCTTTGACTTTTCCATAATCTCTGATATTTTTTTAAATTGCATGATTTTATTAATCTTGTATTCTTTAGGGAAAATTATTACTTTTTTAGATACTTTTGTAGATTTTGAATCAAAACTCAGTCCTAATGAATTTACATTTTTTTGTATTCTGTAAACTAGTTTCATTATGATAGACTTGATTTGTCCAAAGTTGATTTTAGAAATTATCAGGTAGCATAATGTCTTCCCATCTCCAGGAGGCTTTCTGATGGACTGAGTCTGTATATGAAAAAAAATTAAAAATTCATATATGAATAGCATGATTTCTGAGAGCTTAGAGTGAGTGCCTTGTAGAATTTTTTTTCTCAGTTTCATTCTTAAGGTTTATAAGCTGGGGGCCATATAAATAGGGGCCATCCCTTTCTTGTGTGGAGGCTGAAGCTGTGACATATCCAAGGCTACAAGGTTATTGGGAAGAGCAGAAAATCGGGTGTCCAAATCTGGACTCCTGGTTTGTCCTCTTCTTTTCTCAAAGGAACTGTCCTTCCTTTGAGACAACCTTTGGTATTTGGGGAAATAATAGGACCTTAGACTTTTCAAATTGGCGTTAAGTTATAGGAATTAAAATTTCCTTTGACTCTGAACACATTGCTGTGTAACTCAGCAGTGAGAATTGACATAATGACTGGGCAGCTTTCTTACCCCTTCTATTAAAAGCATAAAAAAGTAGGTGGTGTTTAAGTGGATTTTCCCCCCGTTTATTTAATGTTGAGCCCTAATAGTTTGGAGCACTAGCGTCCCCCTGCCTTCTCTCTGCTGTTGTTTAGTATGATGCATAAAATACGTCATCTCGTGTCTATTTGTGTGTATATAGCATTAGGTCAAGTTTAGAGCACTAATGTTTGTAAATAAGGAATGATTATTAGCATATCCATTAGGATTGTTTATTCTTGCCAGTATAAACATCACTTTATTTAGACCGAAGTCCCTGAAGCTTGCCCTTTTACTGCTTTCCAGTAATAGATAATGTGCTTGAATAAGTATGTGAATTCCTGATTGCAGCTTCATTTCAGGGGACCATTCTGAAGTCCGTGTTTCATAAGAATGATTGTTCGTGGAATGATACGTGATCTGTCTTAAAGCTAGCAAAGTAGTGATACTTTACATCAATAAATGGGTCCTAGATGATGACATTGATATCTAGACATTAACATGTATATATTTTCATATTGGCTCAAGTTAAGGTTCAGAATTGGCTAAGAATGATATTGATGAAAATAGCTAAGAGTCAAAATGAAGTGGGGACAGTGGTGTTCAGAAGTGGAGAAATACATTCTTACCTGCTGTTAGTGGTATCCCCAGGACTTAAATTTTTGTTCTCTTAGGCAATCTTAGTCTTAAGATCTGATGAGAAGAGATTATTACCCTGACATGCAGAATGATTATTGATTCCTTTGTGGGACCTTTAATTTCCTTGTTCATGTAGAATATTTTGTCCTCCCACCCTGAGATAGTAAGTGCTCTTGAAACGGCTGAGCCAATCTTTCCTCCCAGCCTTTCTTTCCTGGTGAGGTTATCACTCTTACCTTCAGGTTGGAGAAGCATCAAGCAGTAGGAATGGTGCTGTGTCCTTTGGCCTAAATCCAGCAGATTTGATCCCCAAGGCTTCCTTTTCACTTGGCTCAAAGGATCATTTGTCTTTTTGAATAAAAAAGGCTGGCCAGGGTCACAAAATCCTAGCTCTTAGGAATGGCACATTAAGTAATTTGCAGGGACCTATCACTTCATGAAACTTCACATTTTAAGAATTGAGTGGGAAGATTGTTACTCAATTCTCTAACCTGAGCCTAAGGCAGAGCTTGAAAGTCCAGGGCAGGGTGGTTAGCCTCTGCGTTTCTCAGTTCATTGCTGTCTTCCCTGTTTGGGGTGTGTGGATCTTTCCCTTTCTCTTTACATATAATTTAATGCAGCGTATAGGTTATTCTCATTCTTTTACTACCCTGTAGACTGGCTGTATTATTAGCTACTAAAAGGTTAGATCCATCTATGTTCCCATTTGGCAGTGTTTGTCTTACTTGCTTTTCTAATTTTTTTGGTTTGTTTTTGTTTTTGTTTTTGTTTGTTTTTTTGGGGGGGTAAATTAGGTTTACTTATTTATTTTTAGAGGAGACACTGGGGATTGAACCCAGGACCTTGTGTATGTTAAGCATGCACTCTACCACTTGAGCTTAACTCTCCCCCCTTACTTGCTTTTCTTATACTTTACTCTCTTATATTGTTTTTCTCTGAGGTATGATGGCTGGAAATGACCACGTGGGTATCTAGTAGTTACACCTCACCATTCCCTGAGTTTGGGTTGAGAGATGTATAAGTACCAGTCCCGTTAAATTATGTGATTACAGAGACTTGCCAGGACAAAACTGTCCGAAAAAGTCATAAAAACTATTAAGAGAGATACTGAGAAGTACCTGGGTGATACACACTTAACAAGTTGGTAAAGGACAAAATTAACTTAATATGTGTTAGATGTAGAATCATGTTCATTGAACTCTAGAACTTGAAGTATCTTTGCTATCAGCTAGTTTAAACCCCTCCCCGTATAGACTAGGGTACCAATGAATAAGATCCAGCCTGTTAAACCCTGGTTTGATGTTAAATATTGTAAAGTATGAGTTTATTAACATATTTGAGGTTAAAATGACAATATTCCATACTGATACTTTAGCTAATAGAATTTCTTATTAGCTAGGTTTTAAATTGCTTAAGTCATTTCAGTGTTGATGTTAGCCTGAGCAGACTTTACAAATACGCTATATTCCTATTTGTATGTATGTCCACCTGCTATTCAGAGAGACTGGTCTTCCCCTTTATTTGTTTGCCCTCAAACATTGCTTTAATTATTCACCTGTTCTGTCTTTCAACACTTATCAAATTCCCATTTTGATCTTTTGTCAGCTTAATTCACTTTCAGACTTATTGCCATGGTGTGCAAAAGTGCTGCTTTGCCCCAGTTTTGAAGACTTGGATCCAAATAATGATTCATTAAATATAGTTGTGTTTAAATACACTAAATTTCTATTAGTTTAAACCATTTATTCTCCAGAATTATTTTCTCAGACTTTGTTTTCACTAATGATAAGAGCCCTAATGATTCATTAATATTTTATTCTCAAAACGCCTTTTTCAAAAATTAGAGAGGAGGCAACAATAATTAAAATTCACACCAGCCCCTTTGAAATGACGATATCACAGTGCAGAGAGGAATGGAGTTTGTTTTGATGCCAAAAAGCCTTGTTCTAGCAGTAATTAAAGGGAAAAAGTTAGAACTAGTCAGTTGGCATTTAGAGAAATCCTTTGTACTAGTTAGATATGAAGCTGGATTAAGTTACAAAGTGATCTTTTGATTACTACAGTTGGTTAGACTTGGTTGACATAACTCAGGGCTGCAAACCCCTTTGCCTCCATTAAGGTAACTTCTCTTAATTTGGCATGCTTTTTGTCACACTCACCTCTCTTGGAAGAGAAGATAGATATTCAGCTACTTTGACTCCAGAACAGGATTTAGCTAAGGTTCAAAATAATTAATAGGCTTTACCAGTGCTGAGTCCCACACCATTATTCACAGTCATATAAATGTTTTTATTTAAAATTCTCTCGAGAGCTGGGAATTAAGGCTTTAAACTACTGATTCACCTTTAAAGGAATGTTGTGAGAATTGATATAATTTATGTTTCTGTTTCCATCTCAAATCCTTTATAAAAGATAGGATTTAGCTTTTTGTTTTGTGTTAAGCACCCCATTTATCTGGTAACTAACGGCCCTAAACGTTAGCATTATAGTCTTTTACTCAAAAGTGAACGAA